CGAAGCTACGTGGTGGCTAGGCGCTTGGCATTTTGTCGGAAAAGCAAAGAAGGATCAAATCGCACCTGATAATTGATTGCATCAAGTGACACAGCTCAAACGGGTCAGATAGTTGGGACTTATGAGGAATATACCCGACCGATGTAACTATCAGCCTCAAATGCAACTGTAGTCTCCTCTGATTGACCAAAGACCTGCTTGCTCCCTTCCACCAATCAAACAATTTGACATGGAGGAGACGGCCGGGAATGATACAAGACGGTAAGCTGCAATGGTAGCCAGAGGACGGGTTTCTACTAAAGAGACTGAGACCTTCCAGGCCTGCAACTTACCAATTATTACATAAAATCTTCCTCCCATGCAGTGACTGCAATTTTCGCAGCCAGCCGCCAAAAATCAATGTTCACTCGATCGGGTTACTCTCGGCTAAGTGTCGTGTTTATTGTTTGTGTTGTTGGACTAGATTGAGACCCCGGTCGCGGTTGCAAAGTCAAATCACATCACTGCACGAATGCTTTCTTGTGTCGTTATTGACAAACCCGCACGTGACACAGCCGCCATCTATCTGGGACTAACAACTAGCAAATACTGAATGTCCCTACAGCTAAGCAATCCAACCCAGGTCGTTGCGACTTTGTGAGGGAGACGCTCTCACGATCATCGTGGAAAATGCGACTCCTTGATGTTTTTGCTCAGCAATCCCATCCAGCCTGGGAAGCTTTCAAGTTGCATGCACTCTGGGGCGCAGCAGGCCCAGGGGTTGCGGGTATCTCGGCCTCAAAAATTCCACGCTATCGGACAATCGGCAAAGCTTACAGTCTAAGAAGACCCCAATTCCGGTCGTATTGCTCAATTGAATGTTGAAGGACTTTTAGCAAGTTTCACGTCATATTTGCACTTAAGGGTTCTCAGGCCATACGTTCACGCGACATGGATGATTTGCTGCCGACATCCGATTGTTATTAAGTGAGATGGAGATGTCGAGCTCGACTTCATTTTGACCGCTCATGGTTTTCTGAGATGGCGAAATTTGGTTAATTTATGGCGGAAAGTTTTCTCGCATGTTGTGTTCTTGCGTATATTAGTAGAACTCCCTCAGAGTATCAAGAACTCAACATGCATGCGATTAGAGAATCGGTCTCTGAAATTGAAGAAGCCGTTGTAAACCTTTTCTGCGTAGAGACTCCGTAGGGACTTAAATATAGAAGGTAAACCGTCTCGTGTAGTTTTTTCCATCTGCCGAGTGGAAGCACGATACTGCTCGGAGTAGCTGCGCCATTCTTTAGATAAGGAGGTCTATCAAGTTCAACTTGCAAACGTACCTGGCTTGAATGAAGCAAATTTACCTACAAATGAATTTTCTTCCCGCGTCTAACTTCCATCAATCACGTATCCATAAAAGACGCAGGCTCTTTGATTTTCAGCTGTTTACGATTAGAAAAATGTCGCAGCGCCGCATGTGGCGCTGCCCACTACTGCCGTACGATACCGCCTGCCACGAGATGACTGCCCGTCTCGTACGCTATTGAGATACGACCCCTTATGCGTCGCTCATTTAGAGGATTCAAGCCATTTTCTACTGAATTGTCTTCCACTCAAATCCTCGCTCTGTAATAAAAGTCCTTTATAGCGTTGCCAACGCTGCAGGCGTGAATAGCACGGAAGACCTTGGTGGACGGACGAGGTCGCAGCATCGAGATTCTGATTTTACAATCCGTTCCTCCCAACCTTACACTACTGATTGCCGTACCCTAGAGTGAAGCTTTCTTCGGAATACGTGATCATGTTTAAGACGTGCCCATGGGTGGCGGGCTTGATGGTATTTGACGTTGGCAGCAAATGTCTTGAACGTCAACAGAGCAACTTCCCCATCTCCAGTCCTTATTCCTCAAGCTGCAATCATTTTCCAGACGAGATCAGGTTCAATTTTAACCCACTATCTTAGTGTCGAGGAACAGGCGACGAACGCCACCAAACCACAATGCGCAAAGCCAATTATCCCACGTCCTTTTTGTACTTTTACGGAATGGAATCAAAAGAATAAAGGGATAAAAGCAGAGCCAATAGGGTTTCGGTCATTTCGTGGGAAGAGTAAGCTGCCTTCGAGTCGTGAAGCTGTCAGATAAAATGGAAGCCTTTGACAAATAGAGCCTCGGGTTGAAGAGCTAATATCGGACGAGACTCTATCCGGGTGTTGTACGACGGCTGGTCTAAAAGTGGTAGCGTTGGCATTGAAGATATCTGTCGCAAAAACGACGAGGATCATGTTGAAGAAGATGATAATGGCAGGGATCCAGGGGTGCCAAACAACGATGAAGATACAGTCACGAATTAATCTTGACTTCCCCCAACTTCGCAAAATTCGGCAAACCTTTCTCTGAACATAGGTACTGTTCATTTGAATCCCTATGTCCTGTACGTGTTTGTGGCAGTGTGACTCATCCTCTAAGGTGGTGTTGTCGTTCTCGCTGGTATAGACGCCTGGGCCATTAGATGGACCATGGACAGCAACAGTAGTTCGTCCAACAAAGACGCCCCTTTTCTGTTCGTTATCGGCTAAACAGTCATGTACTGTGGCTTGATCACTTATGCTGCGCTCAAAGGTGAAAGTACACAAGAGATCAGGTATGAACACTGGCAAAGATCGGGGTCACGCTTTATCTAGCTACAACCTCATCAAGTTATTGGCGATCAAAGTTTCGACCCTTTTGCATTCTTTGAATCAACAAAGAATCCTATCAAGACTTGGACTTCTTCAGCAAGGAAGATGGGCAGACATCGCAGGCTTAAGACACTCCCAGTCCAAAGCAAGGAGAGAGCCGAAAGTCAAAAGGCGACCTCAAAGCAGGTCGATCGAGTCTCCAGTTCGAAAAAGCCAGCAACCTTGGTTAGGAAAGATCTCGGTTCATCTAAGTCTCCAGAAAGAGGTACCGTGGCGAAGTCCAAAGTCTCTTCACTGCTCTCCGTGGTGGCCGTTCTCACTGGATACATCTTACAATTTACTGGCCTAAGGCGAATGAAAACATGGATATTCTTTGCACAGCTAGGGATGACTTTGCTGATAAGTCTACTACGTGGTATGATTCGGATGCGACGCTTGGCAAGTGACGATAATTCACTGAGCAGTCACCACGACTTGGTCGTTGGCCATGAACTGCACTGGCTTGCGATCGAGATGTGGAGGAGTTTGCTAGAAGAAATATGCAGACCCAGAAACTATAACGGAAAGGATAGCCGAAGCCTATATCACGTGGTCGAAAGCTGGTGGTCAGAAAGATAACCAACGAATACAGAGCCTGCAATTCTCATGCCCTACGAGGAGCTGATCAGCCCAACGTCTTGTCGGCAGCTTCTTTCAGTCCGAAAAAGGCTTGCTCACATCACCGGTAATATTGCCATATGGGCTCGCTTGAGGCAAGAGAAGTTTCAGGAATGGGGTGACAAATATATCAAAGTTCGAACCGAAGCCAAAGCCATCGCCGCGGCGATTTGCAACATTGCGAACGTTTGTGTCCATGACAAACACGCACATGCCCTGAACATTAAGTCACCAAAAACATTCAAAACGACAAAGAGACTGTATTTTATCATTGCCACGAAGCAATATAAGTGTCTCTTAAAGCACCTGACGGTGTGTCTTCAGGCAGTTGGACGATGGACGCAGCTGGTCTTGAGGCGGTCGTGGGCCTCTATTTGTGGGCGATTATCTTGAATGACCACTTCAGAATAGGGGAACTGTCTTCTAATGAAGCAATCCAGTACGCCAGAGTAATCGTTCTTGGTTCAGAAGGCAAATGAGATATGGACCTCTGGTATCCTCGCGTTTCAATGACATCGAAAGATGGTATCATTCAGTTCAACGCGCAGGAGAAATATGGCCTCTTGGATTTGTGGCATAACTCTCCAAACAAGAAAGATAATGCGACATGGACCGCCATGAGGCGAGGGAAACTAGAAGTTAGAGGGGATCAAATGGAAGGGTGCGAGCCCAAGGCAGGGGAGGTCGTTCGACTTTGGAGCTGAACCGCCTTGGCAGAACATCTAGCATAAGCAAAAGTTACTCACGCCGGGAACGGAATTATCTCAACTAAAGTCAGTTCATTCAGGCAAAAACTTCCCTGGTTGACATATGTGCCCAAGAGCTTTTCACAAGTTTGCTGGTCGGACTCAAAGAAGGTCTTCTGAACAGCCGTTATAGAAGCACCTTCGATGATGCTATTTGGGAGATCGTTCCCTCCGGGTCCAGCTGGGGTGATGCTATCATAAGAAGTTCTTTGGTGGAAAAGCTGGCAGGCGTGTTTATAGATGCCCATCTAGGAACGCATTCAGAGGCTATGCTTTATGTGGTATCTGCACTACGGAGCCAATTTCCTGCCGACAACCTCCAGCCTTAGATTTTAACTTCGCTCGCTACGTGCGAAACCCCCGAAGATGGTCGCCGGGAGCCCAGAATTATGGAGGGAAAATCACTCGCATCTTTCGACGAATTTTCGAGTCGACGGGAGCCCAGAAACCTAAGGATCAACGAACTCGCATACTTCGGGAAAGGCCTGCATCGCCATTCCATCAACCCCTTCTGACGCCTTGCATGTCTTGCTCTTAGATCACGACACCACGGAAGATCGGACCTAATTGAAAACGTTTACATCAATATGGATCAAGAAGTGATCGGTAGTCACGTTTTCGAGACCAGGCAACTATTTGAGACTTACCGCAAGTTTCTACGCCAGATCGCCGTTCACTCCAAACGCAACGTTTCTGTTGGGGATAAACCCGGTCTCACTGATTAGACCGCTTCTTTAGATTTGGACAGTTTGGATAAGACGTGGTCCATTTTGGTAAACTTCGACGTTACTCGGTCATCTATAAGAGATGTCTCTCGTGCCTTAGCGGAAGTCACGAGGAAAGGCCTGGTGGGGGTGCTGGCAATCATGTTGGGTCTTGGTGTTGGTCCAAACAGGGATTACGGGGCCCGAGTCACCTCTTTATCTCCTTCAAATATGGCCACGAAGTATGTGCGAGACTTCTCATCGGCTTTGGAGCTTCGGTACGCTCGCCTGTTGATCAGAAATTAGAGCTACTGCAGATGGCTATGGCTGCCGGAGACGGGACCGCAGTCAACGTCTTATTGAACGTAGTGGAGATCCGACCGAACGATTATATCCATGCAGTACGGGAGGCCTTGCGCAAATATGATCCGTATTGCAAGACGGGACATTGGTTTAGATCCATCCTAGGAATACTGATTGAGCATGGGGCCGACATCGGTGTCAGTTGGATGCAAGTAATCTTTTCAACCCCCTCAGGTACGAGAGAGGAGAATTATTCTTCCAGGTCATTTTTGAGTTGAGCAAGGTTCTCGATAAGTATGAGCACCACATGATGCTTTGGGCATTATCGAAGGAAGGGGAATACGATGGTGTCGCTCGAAACTTGGTTTGGCATGGTATACAGCCTGATCAACCACTCGCGACCTCGTATAGCACCACGGCACTACACCTTGCTGTTCGACACCTGTATACCTTGCAAGTTTTCCTCTTAAGAGGAAAGGTCCAACCCAACCTCGAGGTGAAGAACGGCGCAGGCCAGACACCGTTATGCAAGGCTGTTTGCGAACGCCGGTACGAATCAGCAACCTTGCTTCTAGACAGAGGGGCTTCAGCGGAACCCATTGGTCGTGGAAAGAGGCCCATGGACTGTGCGATTCACAACAAGGATGAGCAAATGGTGAAGCTTCTTTGGTATAATGGTGCAAGCATCAAGTCTGTTGGCAGCAAGGATCAGCACGGTGTGGTGATGGACGACAAGCTGGGAGGAGGTGGAAAAGTTGTTGATTTCATGAAAGCAGACCGACAACCCGAGTTGAGCTGGGAAGTTCGCAGGATTTGATAATCCCGAGACCGGGATACCTGACATGCATTGATAGGGCACGGATGCAGTTGAGGGGTTGGGTAAGGACTTCGGAAGCTGAAGAGGCAACTGGACGGTGGATGATGCTGTCATGGGTTCAAGTATATCGGTGAATGGTGACCAGGGAAAGGGTGCAGCGGTTCCTTAATCGTTGGAACAATATTCGTAGGCGTCACATGGGCCACTAGGATCAAGCTGGCGACTACCTTATGTTATGGCAATGCAATGAGGTCTTGGTTAAGTTGCACTTTAGTTTTATCCAATATCGGCCAGCAAAGAAGGACTTTTATCAATCCCGTACACGGAGTAACGAGTCTGTATGCTTTTTATTTTTTCAATTGCTTCCCTTTTCTTGGTTAAGTAGTTAGCACTGCATAGGAATCGTATATCTAAATAGTGCTATCTAGTGAACATTTGGGCATGGAGGAAACTTGTGTCTGCCAACAAGTCTCGGCTTGCTTTTCCGCGGAACGCGGTATGCTGCCATATCCATACCGCATGTAACAGGCCGCAGTGTTGATGAAGACTCATCAATCAGAAGCAAAATCCCACACCACACCTTCAGCATATCCACCTGGAGCTTTGAAGACGAAGGCTCCGTGTTACGAGCCGATTTCCTTTTCAGTCAAGATGGCAGAACAAATACATGATTCACTAGAGCGCGATGCTGCCATATCGTCATGGTCTCATGGACGTCATGCGTCCTTGTGGACAAGTCTCTATCGTTGAAACAATAGTCCCTGACACGGAATCAAGGGCTTGCTTTTCATTGATGAAGAGCAGGAAGCATCAATTCCGATTTTCCCGATCATTCCATACCAGACCGGTCGGTAGCCTGTCAGATGCAAACCCAAACAAAACAGATAGGCCAACAGGTTGCCAAGCACCGTGGAAGAAGACCGAATGTGTCGTTGTCGGTTGTTCAGAGCGGGTCAGGGGTGAAGGCACCAACGGGGGTGGCCAAGCTTTGTGTCAAGTAACGGGCAGAGTGTGCCCAGCCGGCCGCGAGCGAGAGATGGATTGGAATGCTGGACTGGTTGACTGGAGCAGCCCAACCGGGCCAGGATGGAAGCGGCCAGGGCATTTGTGAATGGCGGTGTTCGTGGTCGGGGGAAGCCGAGGTACTCCGTAGGGTACCGATGACTCGTCCGTGCCGGTGGCCCGGTATCCCTGACCCACCCCCGTCGCAGATATATCGGTAAAGTGGCCGCCCCTTCCACTTGGGTCTGAAAACCCGAGTCATCCTTCCAGCCGCCTATGATTTGTCTGAGTTCGTACGGCCGAGATGTTCGCGATATTCTCGGGCAGTCTTTGGGCACATTTTTAGGTAGATCAACATGCAATGGAAAGATTCGTCTTGAAAGAGTGTGATAATTCGCACTAGCCCAAACTGTGCCCTCGATATCCCTAAGAAAACATGCGCAAACGAAGGGGAGAGAAAAATCTAATAATCAAAAACGCAAATTACACAGCCTCCTGCGGCTAATAGAAACGAGTCTTGCCGTACTTGTCAATATGAGGCCTCTCACCGGCGAGGCAAGTAACCCAACCGTCCAACTGCCGCTCGGTGTCCATGCCATTAGGCCACTCGTTCTCCATCTCCTCTCTCTTCTTGGTCTTGGGCTTGCCATCCCTCACACGAAGCTTCTCGAAAAAGACATAGGCCGCATAAAACACACTGCTGGTGTTGCCAGACGCGGGTCCCTTTTTGTTCATGAAATTGGTGAGCAGGTTGGGAGCAATCTTGTGGTCTGATCCAGCGGGGTACGCGGCCTTGACGATGGCACGTAGGAAGGCTGCCTTTGTGACGCCTTCTTTTTGAAGGATGGCGCGGATCTTGGTGCGGACTATGTCGCAGGTATCGAAGACGGGGACGCTCATCTCACCGTCACCTGGGAGTTCGATTGCAGAGAGGTCCGGGAGGGGATCCTTCTTGTCAACAGCCTTTTTGGTTGCCTGCTTCTTGGGAGCCGGCGCAGCGGCGGCGGTGTCATCATCACCGTTGGCAGCGGCGTCCGACTTGCGCTTGCGGGACTTTGGGGCCGGCTTCTCGGCGGGCTGGACGTGTCACGATGTCAGCTTTGGGAGCTGTGTCACGGCAATGGATTCTGGAAGCGATAGAAAAGAAAGTACTGGCATTCAATCGTAACAGATGACAATTATGAGATGGCACAATGAGACACGTATTCTTTTGAGGGTGTCGAGATGTTATGCGAGATTGCGCACCTTTGCGGCCGTGTTTTGGCCCACGACGCGGTTCGCGTCAGCCTCACCCAACGGGGTGGGCGCGGCGGCAGTGGCCTTCTTGGGCGGCATTTTTCAGGAACCTAGCGGAATACGGAGACGGGCACGGCTCCGGTGAAGTGGGCGGAAGAGGTCTTCGAGTCGGGTGATGTCTGTTGGATGGTAACAATACCGGCGCCTCTCTAAAGTGGTGAGTGTGAAGGAAGTGGTTCCATCCCTGTGTGTACTTGGTAGGCTTCCACCCAAAAAAGCTGCCCACGTAAGAGACGCGTCGAGTGGGACGGTGTCGGTAAGTGGCCGGCAGGGGCCACCAAAAGTCACGGTAGGTGGGAGGGACGGGGCCTGGAGGGGGAAAGAACGTTGATGGAAGCATAACGTCATCGGATAAACAGACACGGGACGAGACATGGGAGCGCGGAGATATTGATCCATTTGCACTTTAGACAGATTGGCAGAAAGAGATGAGACAGGGAAGCACCTCCTTTTTCGATCCAATATCCGTCCCCTTGGAGAGGGATTGGGAAAGAATTGGAAAATACTGGAAAAATTGGGAATAGGCAAGAAGCACGGGCCGGACGCAGCGAGGGGCTCGGAAGCCAGAAGCTGGCGATGCCGTGCAGGACGGACGCTTGGAAGGAACAATCAAAATAAATTGAATAGAGGAGAAAAGGAAGGAAGAAAGGGACATTTTGGGCCCATGGCTGCCAAGAATTGATGATGGGTGGATCCATCGAGGAGGGGAATCCACTGACCGAGATCCATGGATCCATCCAGCTCCATCCCTGTGACGGTACGTACCCACGAGAACGTGGAGAGGAAGGAGGTGGAAGTGGAGGTTGCAGTTTCAGGCCGCGCGAATTTGGGTCTCCAGGAAGGCGCAAGGATGGCTATTAACGATTTCGACAAGTAACGATTTGTTTGCTGGCAGGAAGGGACTTCCTCAATCATTAATGGCTCTTTCTCAGAACAGACGCGGGTGAGATGAGCCCTGGTTGGGTCGTCCAAACTTGCACTCAGCGGCAAGAGTCCGTGCGGTCATGCTTTCACGCAGCTGCCCGGCCTGCCTGCCCCTGGAGCTACTGCGGACATGATGGACCAAAAGAGGAGGAACCCTGCAACGCTATTGGTCGCTCCTTCCCGTCAAGTTCGAAAGTCCTTTGGGATTCCGATGAGTCAGCAGTGGGAAACCGAAGAAAAGTCGAGAACGGGTTAAAAGAGGGTATTGGTCCAGGCACAGAGTTGCGGCTGCACCCTGCGGGAACCAGGAGGCGACGATCACCAAGAAATCAGAATCCTCTTCCAGCTGCACCCCTGACCAGACCGAGTACATCGACCAGCAGCAATCAGCATGGCATGGCTGCATGGCCAGCGTCACCCCTTGATGACCCCACACAGAGTCCTGCGCTGAACTGCAGGCACACACCAAAAAGACAGAATTTTTACTCGCCTGAACCCCGTCGAGCACAGATCGAGACCTTTCACAAAGTCGCAAATAGATTGCTGTCCCGAAGCCCGACGACATGCGCTCACCACCCAAAGTCCCAGACTCTCCCTGTCATCCAGACCTGCGCTGTTGAAACTTGGCGGCAGTTGACCCTTTCCTTTCCACCTGTTCATTTCGATTCTCGGCTTTTCCACCATTTTCATCGTAAAGATTCTCACCGCTCGCACAAACGCCCACCGGCAGTTCCACTGAGCCCCGTGAAGTACAGACCAGAAAAGGCAAAGGCTACGGGGCCGAATGGCCTGTTGCCCGTCATTGATACGAAGCCCGCATACAAATCCGTATCGAGGTTGATCAGCTCCCGAATCGAGGTTCAGGCCAGCCAGGCTCCACGAACGGATCCGCTACTTCGAGAACAGATACTAGGGGGCTTAGCGATTTTCACAGTTCGACTCCGTCGTCCAAAATTCCAAGTCGGAGTTCAAGTGGGAAGCCAGGCATTGGACTGAGGACTCTGGAGATGAGTACCAAGCATCGCCAAGCCTGCCATGCTTGCTTGTTGTGAACAGCTGGATATGCTGGATCATCCATCAATAAGGCCTCAAGCCCTAAGAATTACGGCCTGCATCCCTCCTCGCCTCATCACAGACGTGCCAACCCGTTTCCTCCACCGCTATCCACTCTCGTTTGCTTCTTTACCCGCCTCGACTCGTCATCCCTCCCGGGCTTCAATCTCCAAGTCTCCAGTCAATCGGGTATCGGCTCATACTGGAACTCGTCCAGACCTGGCCTGCATGTGCCCAGTAACCCAGTCAGCCGAGGGTCACTCGCTGTTGCCAGCCAAGCACTGCCCTGCTGTCAGTATCAGCGGCAGGAGCCAACTCGACGAGCCAGCACTGACCACCCACCTCCCCTTTCCAACGCTCAGACGAACTGCCATCCCGTCATCCTCAATCTCATTTCTTCTCCTCACTGCCACTTATGCTTACTGCAAGCTTGGCTTAACCTTTGCTGACTGACCCAATATGATGTGGGCGTAAGTGCGCTTCGGCTCATTGACTCCGAACTAACCCACGATTCAATGTCTCTGTCAATCCCAAGAAGGCTTGCCCGTCCCTAAGCTTAACCTGGAGTGGATCTTTCACAGATCTTCACAACAGATGCTACTATGATTTTCAATGTCGCTCATATGCCACCTGAGAACCAACAGACAGGTCTTTCCACTCTCGACAAGCGAGCAACAAGATGCCCGCCATAATTGTGCCGCATTGGCGCCTCAGATCTGTTTACCGCGCCGCCAGCGGCCAACATGCGCTAGGTCACCTTGCTTCAACCCTGCACTGCGGGATACAGCAAGCCACCACCTTCATTTATGCTGAAACGGCTTGATCTTGCCATGGCTGCTCGGCATGGCCACCGCCCCCGCTTGTTTCCCGCCTTTCCACCTATGGGCACGTTTCCAGCCGCGATGTCCTCGCTTCGGCTTCTGCTTGCGGTTCTAGATCCCGGGATAACAACGGGGTGTAGACGCCGGCCCCACGGCCCCCTTCCTTTTCGATGCAGGGTGGGCGCCTCCTGCTTCAACGTCGAACCCCCCCGCCTTACGATTCCACTTGATCACATTCACAACCCGTTCGCAATCAACTTGTGCCTGGGCAACGCAACCTGGACACCGCCTGGCCATGGATTTGCACAGGGACTCCTTGGACATGACCCCTGGCTCTGCTCCGTGAGAGACGGAGACGGGGGCCGCAGTGGTCCTAGCATGGCTAACATGGGATGAGAATCGATACTGTCTCCTGATGGGCGTGGTCGAAATTGCTTGCATCCACGCAACGCAGGTATGCGCCACGACCCACGACCATGAGCGCTACTCTGGGCTATCTCGAGATATAAGGTCCTCTTCTCTTCGTTCGCATTATCTGCTCTTACTCTCTTTTTCCTCATCCAACAGGCTCATTCCCGCAGCTTTCCATTCCCACACTCTTTTCCGCTTTTCAGCACATTTCTTTCATTTGAACACTTCATTGATTGAAGTTCACTATCTTTACGACTTGAAGTCAATATCCACTCTTTCCACGAACGAAAACTACATCCAACAACACCAAACTCACACTTTTGGAAAATCTGCAAAAATGCCTTCCTTCAAGAACTCCGCTGTCCTTTCCGCCATTGCCGGCGCCGCCTCTGTCATGGCCCACGGTCACGTCAACTACTTCACCGATGGCTCTGAGCAGTTCGCCGGTTACGACGTCACCTCGCTCCCCTACATGAGCAACCCCCCCGACGTGTAAGCAGGCCAGCGTCTAGTTCAGAGCAACTTTGATATTGACAATTTTGTAGCTACGGCTGGAAGAACACCGCCACCGACAACGGCTTCGTCGACCCCTCCTCCTACGCCGCTGCCGACATCATCTGCCACAAGAACTCCGAGAACGCCAAGCTCACCGCAAAGGTCGCCGCTGGTGACAAGCTCCAGATCTTCTGGAACACCTGGCCCGAATCCCACAAGGGTCCCGTCATCGACTACCTCGCCTCTTGCGGCACTGACTGCTCTACCGTCGACAAGACCTCCCTTGAGTTCTTCAAGATCGCTGAGGCCGGTCTCGTTGACGCCTCTGCCAACAAGTGGGCTTCCGATGAGCTCATTGCTGCCAACAACTCCTGGGCTGTTACCATCCCCACTTCTCTGAAGCCCGGCAACTACGTTCTCCGCCACGAGATCATTGCCCTTCACTCCGCCGGCCAGGAGAACGGTGCTCAGAACTACCCCCAGTGCCTCAACATTGAGGTCACCGGCTCCGGCTCTGACCTTCCCGCTGGTACCAAGGGTGAGGCCCTCTACAAGGCCACTGACGCTGGTATCCTCATCTCCATCTACAACTCCCTGACCAGCTACTCCATCCCCGGCCCTGCCCTTCCCTCCGTCTTCGGTGGCTCCGGCTCCGGCTCTGGCTCTGGCTCTGCTTCCTCCGCCGCTCCCTCCGCCACCGCTCCCGCCGCCACCTCTGCCGCCGCGGCTTCCACCGCCCCCGCTGTCACCTCTGCTGCCGCTGCCACCACCACCGCTGCCGCTGAGGCCGTCGCCACCTCCGCCCCTGCCTCCAGCTCCGTCTCTGCCCAGCAGCCTGCCGCCACTGGCAAGCCCTCCTGCGCCGAGAAGCGCAAGCGCAGCCTGGCCCGCCGCATGGCCCGCCAGCATGCCCGTGACGTCGTCCGCCGTGTTTAAACTCCGCGTCTCAATCGAGAGCGAAAGGAGATGACTCACTTCGAGCGAACCCTGAGCCGCTTTGGCGAAGGGGGCAGCTCAAACCCACCAGGCTCATAAAGACATGATTGCTTTGTTGGACTTTTTCAATTGTATATACTATAACGACACTTGTTGGTTTTTGTGTACAACACCGACGTGGATCTTGGACAAAGACTTCTACCTTTACTACCTAGCTACGTACGGCCGTGCCGGAGTATACTAGACGAATGGAAAGGGCGGACTAGAATGGTCCTGCTTATACACTTCAATCCATGTTCCCTTGCCTTTGTGACTGAATTTGTTCTGTGCTTGAATCATGATGAAGAGTTTCTACTGAAGGTGCTGTAATGAAGCTACAACTCCTTTCTGAATGCAGTTTCATTCGCCATATTTATGTTACTAATCACTCCAGAAGACATGGACAAGCCGGAGAGGCGAGTAATCAGCCCGGCAGATCTGTGGGGCTTTTCTGAGAGTGGAGAGCGATTCCTTTTTCTGGCAGCTCAAAGCCTGTTCCCTAGTCATATAGAGCATCGAGGATCCTGTATCAGGTGAACACTATGTTGGAAACGATGGCTGTTTTTCGGAATCCATGTCTCGTCCGAACTTTGTTTCCCTTTCGGTTCCCTTTCGGATTCCGCCCCTTGGGTTGGAACGTGCTGAATAGATGGTCTGTGGGCGCCGGGTCACCCGAGGATTTGGTTGAGGAGTTTGCGACTCGCTAAAATATGAGAAGTGGGGGATTTGATGTGGTCTCTGGATTGGGACACATTTCGCCGGTTTGTTAAGTGATGGGTAGTTGGAACTTATGTGTATATAAAATATTGCTCGGGTTGAGCTTTGTGGAATCTACTTACACCAAGCCCATTCCTAAGCTGACGGCATCTTGGTGCTCACTATCAAATGTTGTCGCGGCACCAAGTATGGCGCTGCCCATTTCTGCCGTACAATACCGCTGAATTACTACGAAACAATAGCCCATCTCGCATGAGTATAGATGCTGCTAACACTTACGGGTCCCCTACTTAGAGGAATCAAGCAATTCTCTAAACTATATTCCACTTAATTCCTCTTTTTGTGTTAGTTGTACTGCAGCATCTTCCAAGTAGAAAAACGTATCGAAAACCTATGAAAAAGATCCTGGTTCATAATGCAGGCCATGCAGCATGCTCTGATGAACGAGCGGGCAGCGCGGTCTTCCGTCTAAATCATGATGTGGACACCGTGGACTACCTGAGAACATCAAGGGCATGCATTCTGTGATGGAGGGTCTTTGGTATCGAACTATTGATCAACAAAATACTCAATCTAAAGGGTGACAACAAGCAAATCCTCATTTCTGGGCCCGGGCTTGCGTCAGGCGTCTCGTTGCTGGATGGGATGCTTTGGCATAGTGGAAATATTAGTAGTCGACAGCATTCACAGGGATTTCTCACTCAAAGGATGCTCATCAGATGACCTACACTTCGCCTCTCATGGACCTTACGAATCTACCATGTCAAGGCTATTGACTGAATGAAGAGTGATAGGATCTCAGGCAGCACTTTACTCGAGCAATGCAAACAACCAGGCAGCGCTAACAGCTGCCAGAATGACTTACAACAGCAATACTAGCCAAGCAATTGAAGGGCCAAAGTAAAGTTTGATAGCGTTAAGTGGAGTATTGGTTGCGTGCCTCGAATTCTCGATCCTGTGAGATAGTTCCATGTAGTAGACACTTAGCACATCGCCGACGAACTTCACGGCAGAAAAGTTTGTTGTAATGCTTTCCTGGGATTTGAATGGATTTACAAATGATATACATAGCTGCTCATTAGAGGTCGGACTTAACCACATAGCCACAATCTTCCTATCATGCGCCGCATCACTCCCCTGCAGGTCTTAATAATGTGGCGTAGGATGACAACAGTCCGACCTGCAGTCGCTATTGGCCCCTTTGAAAGATTTCGCTTATCGCCCGGCATGAAGATGTTGCATGGTTTTTAATCATCGGTATTGCTCAAACACGCTTCATCTTAGCCTGTCGGATTGGAAGCCCAATTCGACCTCGCAGCAGCGCAGGGGCCACCTATCGATCGTATAGTTAATTATCGCAGCCTACTTAACCTACGGTTAGAATCTCCTTTTTATACCTACGCAGTAGATTAATATAGTTAATTAACCTACTTCGTTAACCCACGGTTCGAACTAATCGATTAATATCCCTATAATAAAAATACTAATACTAATTAATAGTTATTTTTTATTATTATAGATTAGTAAAGTATTTTATATATAGAAGAGACGACCTCTTTAAACGGAACGCGATAAGAGAATCGTACTAATTAACTTTATAAAAAGTAAATAATAAAACGCAAATCTTTATAACGGAACGAAATAAAGGAATCGTAGCCCTTAACTACCTAAAAAAGGTCGACGTCTACTATATTAAAAAATAACCCCTATTAATTAATAGAAGTATAAAAGCGACCGAGATATTATCGTCGCCTTTATATACCTTTTTTATTACCTAATTTCACTATAATAAGCTCGCGATTAGAAAATAATAAATCTATATAGTAATAGAAATTACCTATATAATAGCCTACGCAACGATTATTGATTTAATTAACTTACGCGACGTATAAGCTTTATTATATAATATAAAAGGGTACCCCGCGACTAGTAAAAAAGAAGATCTTTAAAACATTCTCTAAAGGGGAGTTAGATTTTATTAGTATTTAGCTTTATATAGAAGTTATAAAATATAGCGAAGTCGGCGACGTATAGAAAGGTTTATTATTATAAAGTTTTTATAAATATAACTTCGAGGCCCGTAATCTAAACGATCCCCTTATAACCCCCTTAACTACTCTTAGAATATTATTACGGAATACTATATAAGAGGCGTTATAAAAAGAAAGGAAGGGATTTAGAGATCACAATAATTATAAGGCCCGGTAATTATAAAACTTCGAGGTAAATCGACTAACTTTCCGACGCTTTAAATATTCTTATTTAAATTAAAGAAAAGGCTATATACTATTACTAAAAAGAAAAAAAAAGAACTTTTTAAAAGACCGCTAAGGGGCTCCTTTTTATATTATTAGCCCTAGGCATAAAATTATAAATTTAAAAAGGTAGGAAATAAATTACTAACTAGCGGTAATTTATTTAATATATATATATACCTCTTAGGTTTTAATTTAAAGAGAAACGTTACGTAATCGAGACGTCGTTAGGCTATTTATAAATCTATTTTTAACGTTAATTAACTAAGTACGAAAAAGTAAAAAAAAGACCGCGAAGAAAATAGTAACTAATTAAAAAAAAAAGGAGTAAATAGTAACGAGGCTTAGTACGAGAAGGTAAGAAGAGGCGGGAAGCTCCTAAACCCTAGTAAATCTAGCGAGTAATAATATTATGCTATTACTAAGGCTAACGGGTAGCGCTAAAACGACCTTATTAAAATTAAATATACTAGCTATTACGAATAGGAGTATAAGCTAGGGTACGATTAAAGGCGAGTTAAAATATAGCTAGAAAGAAAAGATCTCTATATTATATAAATAAGTAATAATTAACCCGGATTATTAAAGAAAATAGACGTTTAGAGATTTTAATAATCCTAACGGCAACTAAATAAATATAATATTAATATATATTATAGAACTATATAAGCGGAAAGGGCTCGAGGGGTAACCCCTATTTTATAAAGTTATTAGCAACTTAGGCAATTAAAAGGACGAATAGTTTACTAATACTAATTTAATCGTTATAAAAAAGATAAATAAATTCCTTTATTACCGAGGCGTTCTACCGGCCTAGGGGGCAAAATAAAGAGCTTACGAAACGCTCGTAACTATAGTTACCGCTAACGATTTTATACTATAGGATTAAAATTAAATCGACCGAGTAATATTAAAATACAATAAGTTTAGTAAACGAGTAAACTAACTAGACTTTTTATTAAAAATTACTAATAATAATATCTTAGCGCCTACGGTAATACGAACTATAGAGATTATATAGGAAAAATAATAACTAACGATCCTATTTATTTCTATAATTAACCTAGCGACGCTATTAATACGCGGCCTATCTTTAATTTATTAAAGGAGTACGAGATTAACTATATAGAGTTAATATAATTACTTTAATACGCGAGAGATATATAAAAAAAGCGACCTAACGGTTATTAATATATAATAATTTATTAACTTTATAAAGATCTTTTTTAAAAAGAAATTGTATTTTAAAGGGAAATATAAAGTATTATAAAAAACCTTTATAATATTCTACGATTATTATAAAAAAGTCGGTATCCGAGAGTAATAATACTACTTAGTAATTAACGTTATATTAACTAATAAAGCTAAGGAATACTATTACTAAACGGTGCATATTATCGATTAAACCGATTTTTTTATTATCGTTAATATAATTTAAAGTCGCTTCGAGACTTAAAATAAAAGTCTAGAGCTTTTATCTAAGCTAAAGGTACTTTTATTTAGATTTATAGCTAGGACTATAAAAAGAAAGTCGAGACTAGAAATTTTTAAAGAGCTTATTAACTATATCGATAAGCTAGCGAAGACGTAACTAAATAAAGGGATAAATAAGCGAAAGGTTAAATATCTTTATACCGCTATATAAAGAGTCCTAGAGGCTAAGATAACCCTATACTAACCCCTTAATAATTATAAAACTCTTTACTCGAGGCTAAGATCTAGCTTTAATATAGAGGCTAAAATACTTTATTAAGTAAACTTCTAATCTTATAACGGCCCTTATTAATAATACTAAGTCGACTATACGTATAAAAGTAAAAGAAGAGACGCTAAGTATAGTAATTATTAAGCTAAAAAAATAAACTTATTAGCTAGTTACTAGTTTAATTCGGGGTCGAGGTAGTAAAACGGAAAGTACTTTATTTATAAAAAGAATAGCTATTAATTTAGTAATTATTTTAAAAAAGAGCGTATTAAATCGTACGAGTAGTATAAAAAGTCGAGGGGAACGTAGGGCAAAATTAACTTAAATTAATTTAATTAGTTCTTTATTATTTACGAGGGGTAGTTAACGGGTAGCGTAAATAGTATTATTAATAGCTAAAAAGTTAATTTTAAAGAAGTAAAAAGTAAAAAAGATCTAACCCTATATATATAAAGGATTAACTATAACGAATTTAATGATATTAACTATTTTTTTTTTACCCCGTTAGCCTTAAAAAGATATACTTTACTAAACGAACGAGAAGTAATACGAGCTTTTAATAAATAGGCATTCTTTTATAAATAAAAAAGGGAAATCCCCCGAGGTATAGTATTACTAAATAGAACTATTAACGGTAAAAAGTTTAATAACGGATCCGAAGCTATAGCTTATATAAAAGTACGGCTTATAGAGGAGAAGGAATTAAAAAGCTTAAGAGCTCCCTTTTAATACTCTTTAAAGGGATTAATTAATAATACTACCTAAGCATTCTATACTAGCGAACGGTATAGCCTAAAAATCTTTTATAGGATTATCCTAGATATAGGAGCATTATAATAATTAATAAGAGGTAAAGGGCAATTCTAAATACTTTAAAAAATAACCCTAGTTACCTTAAATATATTAATAATAGGTATTATAAAAATTAGCTTCGGCCTAGGCGAGGAGATATGCGCCCTAGGTATAGTAAAAGTTAATATACGCTTCGGCACGATAATCTTCTATATCCTATTAATTAATATACCATTTCTATTATACTTAAAGGATATAGACTAGTTAAGCATCGTATTTAATAATACGAAGAATAGACTATTTAATAATAAGCAATTTAAGCTTATCGAACGGTAATAGGGATATACGTTTATAAAGCTCGAATTAAACGTTAAATCTATTAACTATTTTATAGAGGGCGAGCTTAAACGATTATATAAACGCTTTAACTACTTATCGGTTACGAAGCTATATAACTTCTTAAAATAATTAGGGAACGATGTTAAGATAGGAGCTCTAGAATAATTAACGAGGGTATACTATTAATACTAAATAAATATATAAAGCCCCCGCAAATTCAAGTTTAGATTATATAACGACTTTAACTTTAACTAAGAGATCGTTATCAATATCTTTTATTTAAATAATTACCTAGTACTATATATTATTAACGAAGCTATATTATTTTAAAAAGGACAATTCCTTAAAGATATATAGGCTAAGACTATCTAGTTAACGCTAAAGAGGGTGTAGATTAATATATATTAAAGACTACTAAACGGTATTAAAACCGATACCGGTACTAGCTTTAAGTCCGTAGAGTTTAGGAATAATATTACTGCGTATAGTATATAGCTAAAAATCGTACCTATTAAAGTATATTATAATATTAATAAAGTAAAAAGGGTATATTAATAATTTAAAAGAGTATTTAAAATTATCCGTAACGAGAGCCCCGATACTATAAATAAAGAGTATTTTTAAATAGTACTTAAATACTATAACGATACTATAGGCCTAAAAGGGCTAGTTCTAATACTTCTCGTATTCGGAGTATACTTATAAACGACGACGGCTTTATTACCGTTGCTAGACGTAGCCTAGCGAGCTTAAATAATTAATAAAATAATAAAAGTACTCCGGGAAGTAAATACGAAGAGGTAGATTAATAAAGCCGTTATTACCCATAATAGGCTAGATATAAGCCTTAACCTCGATATATTATTAAATTCGGAAATAAAAGTATAGAAAGAGATTACTAAATAGTAGTCTAGACTATATAAATTAATCTTAATCGACGAACGGTTATATATCGTTACTAAAAATAAGGATTAATTACTAGAAATATTAATTATAGTAATATAACTATATTATACCGATCTTAGTAAAGAGATTTCTATTTAATAAAAAGAAAAAGAGCTAAGGGAATCCCCTTAGCTACTAAACGATAAGTAAAAAATTATCCTTAACGAAATCGTTATAGTAAAATAAATAAACGATAAGGGTAAGGGCGAAGTAATCCCTCTACTACTAAAAAGACGGCTAAAAAGATCTTAATAAAGGGCGCCGCTATAGTAATTCGTTACTAATACTAAAATAAATACTATATTCTATATAACTAAAAAAAAGGCCGATTTTATATTCGTAGTTTAGTTATAAAAAGAGGGCGTAATTACTATAGCTAAAAGGCTTTACGAAGGATTAGATCTCGTTAAAATAAATATATTATATAATCGAGGGGTTTACTAATTTATTTTTTACGATCTAGTTAAACACGCGAATATCTATATCTTTAAATTACGTATAGTTTAAAAAATAAAAAGAAAAAGTACTCCTTAGCTATATAAGAAATCGAGGTACGTTATATAAAGGTACGGCGACGTTAAAAAGGCAACGCTACTTACTTAATCGCCTATAATTTAACACTATAACTAGCGCTTTATAATAGTATTTATAGCATCGTTATAATAAAAAGGATATAAAATATAGAGTTATAATATTATATAAATATATACGTAATCGGCGACTAGGCTTATAAAGAAGATCTTAGCCTACTTCTTAAAGGAGATAACTAATAAGTACTTAGAGAGTACTATTATCGAAGTACTTAAGCCGTTATACGGTCTTACCGAATCGGGTATTTATTAGTAGGTAATATACTACGACTTCTATATTAACTAATTATTAATAGTTACGTTAACTTATGACCTTTACCTCTTAGTATTTAAGTACGTAAACGACCTATTCGGTATTATTAAAATATAGATAGACAATACCCTAGGTTTATTAAATATTAAGTTTATAAAAAAGGAGGACGAGGAGCTCTAAAAGGCTAAATTCGTAGCTAAACTAAAAGAGATCTTTATAATAAGCGCACTATTTATGTTTAATAAAGGGATCCTAACTATTAAAGGGGATAATATAGTATTTTAATAAAAGGGGTAAAGCGAAAAGATTAGCTTTATTGACCTAAAATCCCTTGATTATAAAAAGTAATATAGGGCTAAGCTTACCCGAGGAGCCTATATTATAAGTATTTATTAGCCCGAGGCTATTTTTAACTATATTAAAGCTGCGCAGGCTATAGAGCCTACGGAGCGCGATTTTAACGTTTTTAATCGGTAACTTTAGTAATAACGAAATAACTGTAACCGAGGTCTTATTTATTAGCCTATTAAGCTCGCCTTAGCGAGGCTATATATATTTATCGATAGATTATTTATAAATAACGACGACTTAACTTTATAGCTAGGATATATTATTATCTTTATTAATAAGACCCTCGGTAAAGACGACTTTACGATCTAGGGCAATATAATTTATTATTTATTAATAAAGAGTAAGTAAGTTATTAAAAGCGTACTAGCATTTAAAGTTTATAAAATAGTAAATAGAGTAGATATCGCCTATGCGATTTCTATTATATTTAAAAGGATTATAAATAGACTTAACCTTCTTACGATTTTTATAATCGTTTATATTAATTCGTATTCGCTATATAAATACTTTATTAAGTTAAGTACTATAAAAGAAAAGAGGTTTATAATCGATATTATAGCCCTTAAATAGTTATATAAATAACGAGAGATTTTTAAAATCCGTTAAATTAACGGGGATAATAATTTAGCTAATGCTTTTATAAAAGCTATACTTAATAAGGGGCTAAAGTAATTCGTTAATAAAGGAAAAGTAATAATACGAATAGAAGGATAAGTAACTTATAAAGAGTAGAAAAAAAAAGAAAAAAGGGTATATTTAATAGGCTAGTTAGAGGTTAAATTATATTTTTAATCGCCGCTATTAAATAATAAAAGAGAGAGAAAGTTAATATTAGATTAAAAGCCTAATTCGACCTCGTAATAGCGCAGGGGCTACTTATTAATTGTATAGTCGATTATCGCGGCTTACTTAACTTATAGTTAGAATCTCCTTTTTATACCTATATAGTAGATTAATATAGTTAATTAACCTACTTCGTTAACCTACGGTTCGAACTAATCGACTAATATCCCTGTAATAGGGATACCAACATAGCCCAATCATTGTCGAATGGTCGACATAACTTAAGTACGGCAGACTTTGATAGACTGGCGACCCCATATTCTTGTCTACGTCGCACATGAGTGACATAAAATTCTAGATTCATGGGAAGCCCAAGTTCGATTGCAATATAAGTGCGAGTGTGAGACTTGAGCCCATCGAGTCTGGCCATCCCTAGTTCCGCCAAGGGAGGCAGTGAGCGGCTTGCCTACCCCGGCCTCATACAGAGAGTCGCGCTCGCTTAGGAATGAAGATGGCTCAAGTGCCGGGTTTGTATTTCCTAGAGAAGGACCGGTCTCGGCGCCGAAACAAGATCTACCATGCCGCGACGAAACGAAGGCTCGCCCGCGCCAAGATAAGCCCTAAGACAGTTGCGAGATGAGATGTGTAAATTCGTCAATTAATCGCTCACTCGTTGCTTGATCTCGCATCGCCGGCATTTAATACGATTAGAAGCCGAAGAATTGAAGCAATGAAGTCATCATGAGACCCGGTAATAAGGCCGTGAGTGACACGAATTTAAGACCCCGACCGCCACGCGAGACGGAGTGAAGATTCCCCGCAAAAAACTGAAGTGAGGTAGCTGCACGTCGTGCGACAGACTTTCTGCATCGAGACAAGAAACGTCAGTTCCAGCATCTTGGGACGCGGCATCTTATCAGTCCAACGGCAGGAAATCTGACTAGGAAGCGTCATCTTCAACGATAATGCCAACTTTGGCGAAGCGTGGGCAGTCGGGACGGGAAAAGGAGGGAGAGGGCTTGCTGCTTGAGAGGAAGGAGATAAGGACTTGAAGAGCTGCCGTTGCATTCTTCCTTATCTCTTGGCGGGTCCTCCCCCTCGCCCCGGCACACTCCCGTACCTCCGAAGCCCCCTTCCCTTTTTCTCCACCCCGCGGCCTTATCTTTTGACGTTCTACGACCACTTACCGGGCAGAGATGCTCAGTTGCAATACATGCCAGGGCAGAAAATCAGAAATCGACCAATGAGATTCGAGGGAGGAATTATTCAATGGCATTGACTAACACTACTTTTGGGGGGAAGGTCCTTGATGGCAGGGGGTTTGTTATGGTGGTTTGATGCTGCTGCAAGACTTATGCCCATCCGAAAGCTTGTCTCCCAGAGTCCTGGTTCGATGTCTACAGTGGGATAAGGTACAGTCAAGGCTACAAGGATGCGGATAGTCGATTGATCATTGACTTTTGTAGATAGGGGAGGGTGGTGGTGCAGGTTCTTTGATATACATATGCGCAGGACCGTCCCATCATCGCATCGATGAAAGAATGCTCTGAGTCACTGTGAATTTGGAGGTTGTTTTTGTCTTCCTAACGATACCCCTAGTGTTTTTCATTGTTCTAATAACCTTCAATTCCAAGCCACTTGAATCATTTGCTTGCGCCACAACATCGAGCCATTGAGAAAGACTACAAGTCTGCTACTCACAATGGCAGACTCGGTGAATGAGAAGGAAAAAATTGGCTCATCACCACGACCTGAGGAGAACGGCATCGGCAAGACGACACAGGAGGTCACACTGACCAAAGATGGCTTCAGCGTACATCCTCAGCCCGTCGCGGGCGATGCCATGGATCCCCTCAACTGGTCCGCCTTCCAGAAGAACACGATCCTCGCCATCGTGATGGCATTGTATGTCTAGTCTCACACATCTCAGCGGCGAGCATTGAGACTGACTTGTTTCAAACACAGATACTTCATGTTCACCTACATCACGACAACAACGGTCCCCTCCTTCCCCGAGCTACAAGAGCAATACTCCCTCACCCTCGAAATGGTAAACTGGACTGTCGCCATCCCGGCCCTCGGCCTCGCCATCGGCCCCTTGATATGGTCCTCCCCCGCGGACAGCATCGGCCGCCGGCCCATATTCATCGCAGGCACCGTCGTCGCCTTCGCCGCGACCATTGGCGCCGCAAAGGCCCCTTCGTACGGGGGTTACATGGCGGCACGCCTCTTCCAGGGGCTTGGCGTCAGTCCCGCCGCGACGGTCGGACTAGCCATCATCAACGACATGTTCTTCGAGCACGAGCGCGGACAAAAGGTCGGCCTCTGGGTTTTGGCCATCGATTTGGGCCTACTTGCTGGTCCCCTGATTGGTGGGTTCGTGGATTTGATCGATCACTACTGGATCCAGTGGATGACGGCCATCTTCTTTGCTGTCATCCTTGTTGCGGAGCTTGCCTTTTTGCCCGAGACACTGTATCCGAGAGACTATATGCTTTCCAAGACCAAAGGTGTCGTGTATGGTGCCACAGACGGCGCCGTAGACGAGAAGGCTATGGGATCGACGGCAGCGCCAGAGACAGTGGATGTTACGAGGACGAAGAAGTTGGGATTTTTGAATGTGAAGCCCGTGCCGGCGATGAAGCATCCCAAGCCATGGGCGTCGATTGTGCGCTTCGGGAAATTGTTCAAGTTCTCTGTGGTGCCCATCGCGACGGGGGTTTACTGCTTCGGGTGGTATTGGTGGGTGCTGTCGGTCATCACGATGATTCCCGTGGCCTACATTGATTATTCGCCGCAAATCCAGGGGTAAGTGACATAGATTGAAAATAACCTAAATTGGACAATGGAAGCTAACAACAGACATTGCAGACTCTTCTTTATCGGGTTGATTGTCGGAACTCTGATCTCGGAAATTTTCTTTTCCGGACAGCTAAGCGACTGGCTTGTGATAAAGCTCGCAAAGCGCAATGGAGGCGTCAAAACAGCCGAGATGCGTCTGTGGCTGGCTTATCCCGCGGCTCTTCTCACCTCCATCGGCCTCATCATCTGGGGTGTGAGTATCGACAAGGCATACCACTGGATGGTTGGACAGGTTGCCTTTGCTCTATGTATGTTGACCCAAACACCCCTCAAGAAGCAAAAGCCCCAAAGCATAAACTTACCTCGTTCTCCAATCACAGTCGGTGCGGGGATTCAAATGGGCAACACTGCCATCTGCTCGTACATTGTCGACGCGTACCCGCTTCAGAGCATGGCCGTGATTACCTTTTACGCGGTGCTCCTCAACCTCAGCGCCTTCATCGATCCCTTCTTCATCGCGCCTTGGGTGACGAATGTCGGCTACACTTGGACATTTGCAGGACACGGTATCATTACCATCTTTTTCTGCATACCAGCGCTGGGTCTGTTGCATAGGTTTGGAGGCGCACTTAGAGCAAAGGCGGGAGAGCCAGATTGGGTTAACCCCGAGTATGATCATGATATTGTGCGGGAAGCTTGATCTTCAGACAGTAGGCTTTCTGTAGAAGTGCATCATTTAAGCTTTATGGCGATAAAATACGCGTATTCACTTATTTTGCCGCAGTTTTGCCTGTGACGGAAGTAAGAGTGCCGAGAACGAGAGCATGATGTTAGCTTTCACATCTCTACGGTACGCATTACGAATTTATCCGTTGACAAAGCTGAAACTATTTCACTCGACCGAATTTCGAATTGAGTTTCTCACAAGCAGTCCGCACGCGTCTATAGCAGTCGTGGGCGAGTGAGACTCGGCCTCGTCTTGTTTACTATACGTGGTGGCCGAGTAGTAAATGTATTTGCCATTGTTTTCTTCATCACGCTACATCAAGACAACCATAATTCCACCAACCGGAGGTGGTATTCCAACTTTGTGCGGATATCCTGCTCCATGGTCCCCATTGCTTTCACCAAACACTTCGAATCCAGATATGCAGGCTCTTCAACCGAACCCTTCTGTGTTTCGCCACCCATGCCATTGAGTATCCGCCCGAGTCTCCGAAGTCGGCCCTTGAGTAGTTCGTATATACACAGATTTGGGATCCCGCCGTTACCATCGCTTATACCCAACTCGCCGACCTGCGGCACACTTTTGGTTGGTTGCTCGTGGGGCGGCGATGCGCTGCCGGGAGCAACTCCGCGGAGGAGAACCTTGCCCAGGCTGTCGACAACCCAGTCGATAACGGGGCACAGCATCATCATGAAGTGAGATGATCGCGGCTTACAGTCCTGGCAGTGTCGGATTGTTTCTTCAGTGTGGTGTATTGAGCTCTCAATGTCCAGAAGAATGCCGAGCGGCACTTGTGAGTCTATCTCACTTGAAAGTTGCGTGTGGTGGTACACTGACTCCTGTAATTGGCAGATGAGAGAGAAGCAGTTGCAGTCCTTGGTGCTTGTGGAGTGAGATGTGTGCTCAGGGACACTCATTGGAATGGGGAGTCGCTGGTGTATTTCGCTTCCTTGGCTCACATCAGGTGTTGATACTGGGTTTAACTTTGTTTGTTCGGTTCCCGGGGTGTGATTTGGATAAGACATTCCAAAGTCTGGTAGTGAGTCCGGTGTTGAAATGCCCATGTACTGCTGCATTGACTGAGAAGGTGATGATTGCTCCATTGAGAAGCATGATGAAGTGAACGTGGGACTAGGCATATCCAGAGCGAGGAGATCTTCAATGGGGAAATTTGTGTCGCAGAGGGGGTTGGTGATGTTGATGCTGTAAGGTAGCAACCAGTCAAGATCTTGAGGCGCGGGTAGGCATCCCGGACGGTTGTCCCAGTTAGATGGCACGCCGTCAAAATAGTCGAGAAGCTTCGCCTCCATGTTTTCGCCAGTCGACGGGGTCGAAGTTCTACTGTCAGAAAAGTCGGTTACCGATGTGTCTGCCATGCAGTCGATACTGCCAATACGACTGCTGATACTGCTGCCGCTAATGCTGCCGAAAGAAGCATCACTCGGGCTGGGTGTGCATGGGAGAAAGTCCATTCTGTTGTGGTCTGCTGGGTGTTCCCACATTGGGGCGGCGGCGTTTTGTCGTTTACTTGGAACTTTAGGTGGCCTGCCGGCTTTCCGTACCCGACTGTAGACGCAATCTCGCCCACGGCGAAGACAGCGATGACATGCCGGTTTTGATTGATCGCATTTCAGCTTTGATCGAGTACAAAAATCACAAGAGTTTCGTAGCCTCCGGGTGTTGACGTCGATGCGATGCGCCGAGTTTGGGGCTGTGTTCATGTTTGTCATGATTGCGTTGATATGGATTGTGTTTGTCCGAGATGCCAAGTCAATGGGAGTTGAGTCTCAGGAGTTTAGCTGGGTAGGTAAGACCGGTAAACGTGCAGCCAAGACAATCGGCGGCGGGGCTACTACTTTTTGAGTACGACGGGATAGGTGTCAATTAGTTCTCGGGTCGACTCAGGTCAGTACACTAGCGCGTCTCCTCCTTGTGCCTACGGGAACTTTAACAGTCTTTCAAACAGGAATAGAGTTGATAAACGCGACTAGAACGCCAAGTAGTTCTCAGTGGTGGGTAAACGTCCCGGCTGCCCGGCATGGAGCGCAACTCTGCTGATATAGGGTAAGGCTGTGGATCACATTTGTGGGCAGGGGGCAATTGGAAAGTCTGAAAACGTGATTCAGATAAGAGGATTCAGAGTGTAGTAGCAATGGGAGCAGCTGGAGCCCAGGCCGATGTCTCGAGGGGTGTGTGAGAGTATGTGACAATGTATGAGCCTCGGAGTGCGTAAACAAACCGAAAGACCGGGAAACCTGGACAGGTACCCTTGGTGTGAACTGCTCGAGATTGGGGCAGGCAGGCTAGAAGCAGGGCCATCTGCGGGGTGGTGGTGGTGTACAGGACGGCCGCCAACGATCGACGGCCTGCTTCTGGTATCGAGCAGAAATTTCGAGGCAATGGGCCCCGGTGGAAGAACATTCGCGTGTTCCACGGTAACCTTCTGAACCGTAGGTAGTCTGTGTTGTATCGTCCAATGTTCCTCCACGGGCCAGAGCAGTACGCGCGGCCGAGTCATTTCCGTCTCCCTAGGGCTGAGGAAGCCATGTAGATGTAGATGTGAACCTGAGGGACTTTTGCGGTTGCCGATTTGCATGGAACCGAGGTCTTGGTTCGCCGACACTTGTGACAAGAAGAACACTGAGAGGATCGAATACATAGTTCTTCCTGCTAGAGATGATGGATGCGATAAGGTTTGTGGGGGTATGTGGTTGGTGACGCCGGCAGGCAGAGCTATGCAAGTCTGCCGCCGGGGATCTAAACCGCTCGATGTCGCGAATAGCATGAACCTTCCGCGCGGAAGTTTTGTCCTCGAAAGGTTGCCTGGCAGTGGTAGACTGTGACTTGCTCGGGAATCTTCTGCCCATAGCTTCTCTTGCATTGTTTCATGGCATTGGCGGGGCAGAGGGAGCTCGATGTGCTTTTGCCAAGATGGTCCGAGCTGTCCCCGACAAAGTTGGGAGAGTTGAACCTGCATGCAGGTAGGTATCTTACTGAAATGGCGGGCAGAATATGTGGCAGATGATTATTCGGTGCTCACAGATAGAGATCCTGCTTCATGGAACTACAATTCAATTCTTCAGTGTTCGATTCCGCGTGGGCACTGTTGCAAACGATTGCCTACAGCAACGTCTGTACTCAGAGAGTCTCAGAGAACCCAAATATCTCTCAGCGTAAGTGCGTAATTGGGTCCAATGCGAGCCGATACCGAGCCGATTGCTGCTGCCGGCCGGAGTCTACAGGAAACCCGGTACGGCGGAACTTTAAGTGGCCCTCAATATTTCCTAATCGGGTCTACGTTCGAAGTCGTCTATACCTCAGCCGCCAGCCTCAGATGGCCTCAAGTGTGGTCGGGTCCCCTCCCGTCGGGCTGCATTGGACGAAGCTCGAGCAAGCGTGTAGAAAAGGTTGCCCATCTTCACATTGCCAATCACTTGGCAACAGTTGCTCAAAAGTGAAATTCATCAGGCAAGTCATCCGAAATAATGGTGGCAAACGCAGATCTCATCTCTCTTTCATAGTGAGCCAATCAATTTCGAGTAGCACCATCGTGGAGGGAGATCTCATACACTTAGGGCGCGACACAACATGCGAACGATTGCGGCTGCGGCAAAGAAGGAAGTCGTCGAAATTTATGCAAGAACTAAGCAAGCGACGCGGCTTACACTTATCGTGAAAGCGTCAATGACGCGTCGACTAAGTGTGAAAAGCAACCAACGCCGATTCTGGGGACTAATCAAGACACCTCACACACGCTAAGGTAGCTTGAACATTCGCATAACTTCACGAGAAAAAAGAGCAACGCCTGAAGTCCTCAAAGCTTCCGTGCGGGCTGTTGTTTGGATGCAATGCTAATTGCCCACGGGCCGTAGTTGGGCGTGATGGGAAGAGCTTCTGCTCTCGACACTTGCCTGTTTTGCACTATGGTTGCACAGATGTGTAGATCGTCACGGTCTGTGTGCTAATATTTTGGATTCCATCGATGTGTCCCATTGAATCATGAATGATGTATCACTCTTGTGGTAGATCAGTTGAGATGGAATAGGAAGCGTATGGAAACTAGAGAGTCAGGCAAGCACACACATCGTGTAAATTGCTCGTTTAATTCGCCTCTAGTCATTCTAGAAGCCGTACAGAAGACCAACGTCGAGCGATATCTGAACTTAGTACACACGCAGGGCATAGAGTTTTGTTACTTAAGCAGACCAGCCCGGAGTAATTCTCGCTGTTTAAGCCCTATGGCGAGTCAGACTTTCGAAACCCTTTACTCTTCGACGGCCCCAAAACATAGGATGGCACACTATTGAGCAGAACATCTACCTATACTGCCGATGGCGAGTTGTGCGACAACAACAACTTGCAAGTTGGCCCCCCAACGCCCAGAGTTTGAACTTTGCCCGTGTTCGTCTCTAGCTGCAGACCCGAAACCGTGGATTGCCATGTGCAGGAACGCGCATTATTTCTCCCCTTCCACATAGTAAGGCGATTCTCATGATTTACACCACGCCCCATGTCCAACGGAATCCTCGAAGAGCCAGCCACACAACGTACCTCGTAACTTTCCGACGCTTTCCTCAGGAAACCTTCTGATTGGTGGAGACTTCCGGTGGTCTACCTACAATATCTTCCCCATGGCACCGGATGCACCAACCATCCGTCCCCGGAAAGCGACTTAGCCACCATTTCGGCTCGGAATGTCCAGGTAGCGTACGCGCGGTCGTGGGTTTCTCCGCCGTCGCCCGCTTACCCCCTCCTCTCGGCACGGACTTTCAGAAGTATGTCTTCAGATCCTGTGTAAGCGGGCGCCATCAATGGCGCCCGCTTATGATACTCACTCTCCTCCTCTACGGCAGATAATTTTAGAGTAGACAGCCGACTTCCTTTACACGGACATGATGAGTATGCATATAGGATACGGCCACTCCAATGAGTACGATTGGTTGCATTGCAAAACCCCTATAAACTCTGCGTAGGTACTTTATTCAGCACCGGCCAAGGTTTGGA